CCCCGCCCTTTGTTATTCTGCATGCTCCCCGACTTCCCTGATCACCTCAACTCCCCTGAGCATCGTTTCTGGATGGGCTGGTGGGGATACGCGAAGCGTCAACAATTCACGCCTAGCTGCCTCCGCTTCTCCAAGAGTCGGTCACGCTCAGCGCGATATTCCGCTGAGGGCCCCTGCTGTGCCGCGGCGCTGAACTCCTGGCGCGCGGCTTTCTTGACGCCCTCCACTAGCTGAAACCAGGAGAGAGAGAGAGAGAGAGAGAGAGAGAGAGAGAGAGAGAGAGAGAGCAAGTAGCGTCTCCATGCAGATGCTTTAGACTCGCATCTGCGCCCGAGCTCGGCAATGAACTCGCGGGCGCCACCGGGCTTCAGAGCTTGACTCATGAATGCTCTATCCCATCTTGTCCTTGCCTGCTCTGGTGGTGGCGCCGTCTGTAGTCGTTAACGCAGTCGCCGGAGCATCGGACAGTGGTCACGCAGGAGAGGGGAAGGTATACGCTGCAAGTCTCTCATCGCTCGTCGTCGGCACACACACGATATGGTCGCCTGCACAGCTTCGCAAGGTCCCCACCGATGATCGGGGTTGGGATGTGTGGGCCTCAGCTCCAAAGAAAGTAGGGCCCGTGTCGAAAGACGAATCGATCGCCGCCAATCTTTCCATACTCATCATGCGCCAAACGGCTGCACCCGCACCATTCTCTTTGCTGTTCGCGTACGGGCCGATGTGAAGATCGTCTCTTGTCGTCGTCGGTGTGCCGCTGGGCCCGCTACGCCGTCCAAACTCAGAGTTTGTGTCAGCTCACACCAGGACCAGGCTGCGCGCTCGTGCGCGCTGAATCGTCTTGTGCAGCCAGGTCGTTAGCTTCGCACACGTTGTATTCCAATGGTCCACCTGGTGCCTCTGTGGAGGCGGATAATAGGCAACCGCTACCAATATGTCGAAAGTCTGGCTCTTGAGCCGAACAGCGTCACCTCTGCCCGCGAAGTCCTAGGGTGGCTCCAGAACTCCATGTACGTGCGCATCTCAAAACGCTCTCCGTCTCGACATGTTTGCGCAGCCCGCGCTCTTGTTGGTGTAGCGTCCCTTCTGCCAGCCGAACTGCGCCACCAAGTGCTTCGCACAGCGCAGCAACGTTGGCGACTCTCCTACACGGCGGCGCTGCTGTGTACGGCAACAATATGAGGTCAGCAGAGCCCCGGCGAGAGGAACCGTCATGCGCTCTCCATGTGGCATTAAATGAGGGTGGGTTGCACAATACGGTCTGGAGAAGAGATGCCCACATGGTGGGTGGGAGCGAGGGGGGCTGCAGAGCGAGGGGTGTAGCCTGCACTGTGTCCTGACAGGGAGCCCCGATTCCCCTTGGCCTGAGCAGGAAGGGCTTAGGAGGAGGAGGAGGAGGAAGAGGAGGAGGAGGGACAAGTACTGAGGACAAGAGCAGGAGGAGGAGGAGCAGGAGGATGATGATGATGATGAGGAGGAGAAGGAGAAGGAGGAGGAAAAGGAGGAGGAGGATGGGAGAAGGAGGCTGGGAGGAAAAGGAGGAAGAGGAGGAGGAGGAGGAGGAGAAGGAGGAGGAGGAAGAGGATGGGAGAAGGAGGATGGGAGGATGAGGATGAGGAAGAGCAGGGGGAAGAGGAGCAGGAGGAGGAGGAAGAGAAGGTGGCGGCGGAGGCGGGAAGGCAGGAGGAGGTGGTAGTGGTGGAGAAGGGGGAGCGGGAGGAGGAGGAGGAGGATGAGGAGGAGGAACATGAGCAGGAGGAGGAGGAGCAGGAGGAGGAGGAGCATGAGGAGGAGGAGGAGGAGGAGGAGGAGGAGGAGGAGGAGGAGCAAGATGATGAGGAGGAACATGAGGACATTCATGAGGGGGCGGGGAGCAGGAAGGGGAGGGAGATAACGAAGATGAGGGGGAAGTCCAGGAGGGGCAAGAGGGGGAAGGGGGAAAGAAGTCGAGGAAAAGGAGACGGGAGAGCCCCCGATGCCTGGGGTATGCTCTGCCTTGAAAGTGTCAGATCCACAATCCGAGAAAACACACAGCTCGCATCTGACGGGAGAACTGCTGAAGCTGGCGTGGGAAAAACCACATCAGCCGCCGCGCTTGCACGAGTGGAATGTCAGAGTGTCTATTCGTTGTCTGGCAATGCTTCTCAATTTCTCTTCTGGCGCCCGCACCCCCACCCTCATCGCAACCGTCGTCAGAAACTCCCTCGGCCAAAGGGTCCTCGCCCTCCTCCTCCTCCTCCTCCTCCTCCGCCTTGCGCCTCCTCCCTCCGCCGACCTGGTCCGATCCATTCTCCGACCTCATCCTCTTCCCTCTCCTCCCCCCTCTCCTCTTCCTCCTCCTCCTCCTCCTCCTCCTCCCTCCCTCCCTCCCTCCCTCCCTCCTCCCCCTCCCTCCCTCCTCCTCCTCCTCCTCCTCCTCCTCCTCCTCCTCCTCCTCCTCCTCCTCCTCCTCCTCCTCCTCCTCCTCCTCCTCCTCCTCCTCCCCCCCTACCCCATCCCACCCATGTTTGCTTCCCGTCACCATTTCGGCCTCTACGACAACTCCAGGACGGCCGAAGACAGCTCCGAGGCGGCCGCAGCATGCCCGAAGACGGTCCTGCCTAAGGTGGCCCAGTGAGCCCTCAGAGGCTCGAAGATGTTCTCAACATGCTCTCCCAAGAGGCTCTAATAGGCCCCCAAGAGATCGGGGGCGTCCATGAGGGGGGCGTCCAAGAGGGGAGGGGTGCAAATCATGGCCCAAGGCATGTGCGCGGACCAGGGGGGGAGGCCAGGTAACCTATTGACATAAGAAGAGGGGCCATGAAATCTGGTGAGATATCACGGCCCTGGCCATGATATCCACCCCCCTAGTCATCGCCCCCCTCTTGGCCGCTCCCGAATAGACGCCCAACGATGCCTTCACCGAGGCCCGAAGTGGCCCAAAGCATTGAAAAACATACGGGAATCAGTACGGTTTGCTATTGCTCCAGATCGCCCTAGAACACTTCGAATAGCCTAAACCAACTCCCAAACCAGCTTGACACGGACCGAAGAAGGCCCCGAGACGGCCCCAACGCTGTTAGAACCCTCCAAGACGGCCCAAGACCGCCTCAAGAGGGCTTCAATACGGCCCCATGACCCGCCCAGCGTCCTCAAGATGGTTCGGCCGAGCCTCTTCGGGAGAGCTCGGTAGAACCATCACGGCCAAGACGGTCCGAAGACTCCAGACGTGTCCCCAACACGCCCACAATAGACACAACCCCCCCAGATACCTTCAAGAGTTTCTATCGGTGTATAAGTATATATATAAACATGTGTTAAATTTGTCCTTCGACAAGGGAGCAGAAAGACGGGGGAAGCAATGAGGCGGAAGGCCACGATGACGAGGCTGTGGGGAACGGGGCGGTGCTGCAGACCCGCGCCGGTTCCGACGGGGCGCTCCAGGAAGGGCCACGCCGCGGAAGCAGCTGCCTCGAGAGTGGGGGGACCTCGGCCCCCTGGCCGCAGTAGGTTGTCCCCATATGCCCATAAGGGATGCCACCAGGCAGGCAGGAGGGGCCAGCAGGCCTCCAGGGCGGCCCCAAGACGGCCCGAAGCGGGCCAGGAGATCCCAAGACGACCGGAGATGACCCCTTCGATGCCTCTCAGATGGCCCCAGCACGCCCCCAAGAGAGAACAACAACATATTGAACACCTACAGGGTTCTTAATGTTTCTTGTCTGTCTCACGTTTTCCTTCGATCGTGTCCCAAGGCGGCTTCACGATGTCTCCCACAGTAATCGACATTGTCCAAGACGGCCCAATGTAGCCAACAAGGGCCGCAACATGCTGCCCTGATCGTAGCAACGTGCCCCAACGAGGCCTCAAGGCGCCCCCAAGAGGCCCCAAGATGGGCCGGAAAGCGGCCCCCGATAGCTTCAAGGCTTAGAGCAACGTGGCCCGACCGTGGCCCCAGAGGCCCCGAGAATGCTCCCTGGCTCTGCTGTGCCCCAGGACGCCTCGAGACTGCCCCAACGCAGCTGCAGTGCAGCTCAGCCCGAGGTGCAGCCGGCAGAGGGCGCAGCCCAATAGACATATAAAACTGTGCGATGCTGGTTTGGGGGGGAACTCCCTCTTTCTCCCCTCCCTTCTTCTCTCCCCTGCCACTGCCCCCCGTTTTCTTTCGCCCTCCCTGCCCCTTTTGCCTATCCCTTTTCCCTCCCTCATGACTTTCCCTCGCCCGCTCCCAACACCCCCACCCTCTCCCCCTCGTTTCCAGGTAGGGGAGCGGGAAACAGCCGGCGCGGGCGGCGATATCGCTGCACGGCGAAGCGCCTTGCAGACGGCACGGGCCGTGCCGTTCGGCCTCTTGGCCCACACTGACGCCCTCAAGAGGAAGAGTCTGAGGAAGCGAAGCGAACGCCAGAGTCGTGCGCGCTCCTCCGGGGAGCCCGCCCGTGCCCATTAGGGCATGGCGTGGAGGCCGTGGCCTCGACAAAGAAGATCACCAAAAGACTCAGGCTTGTGAAATGCATGCCGGCTCACAGGATGTCCACCACTCTGTGCAGCAAGCGGCCCGGATCCGTCGTAGGTCGTTCGTGTTGTTGTGCTCGTATTGTCGTGATTGGGTGGCTGCCCTGTTCTGTTCCTCTACGGCCTCGCTGCCCAGACTGTGCGGGAAAAGTCTGAGGAAGAGCAAACGGAAAACGAATCGGAGGAGGAGGAGGAGGAGGAGTGCTGGCTCGTAAGAGTTGTAAGAGCTCGCTTGCCTGCAACTGCAATCTTGAATTCTCTCTCTCGTTGCCTCAGTCGGCGAACAGAAGACAGCATAAGCATAATCGTTCGGAAGTCTGCGTGGGTTTACTCCGTCGGCGCTGGACCCTGGAGCGCACCAAGGGTGGCGCCGGAAACGCCGCTACTTAAGGGTGTTCGGCTCCGATCCAAGAAATCCGCGTTGACCTCCGAAAGTTTGTGAAGGGACAGCCGCAGCCGCGCTGACCCCCCCCCACCCTCTCCCCCTCGTTTCCGGGTAGGGGAGCAGATCACTGGCCTTCACTATCCCAATAGACATCCTCCAGCGTCTGTGACTCGGTCATCGAGTTCCAGACTTGAGAGTGAGGCTCCCTCTGAGACGTGACCCCGACACCCCACTGGGCACTCAGAGCGCGGACTATCCAGTCTTGGTTAAGCCTGATGCGCTTGATGTCGAGGAGGGCGCGCTGCATATCCAAATTGCGGGCGTTACCTCGTACAAGGGTGCATCCATGAATCAACGAATCTACGCTGATTGATCCCTTCTTGTCTGCACCAACGAACTCCGCAAACTCTCTGAGCTCCTTCACGCTGATACCAATGGAGTGCAAGTAGGCATGCAGATGGCTGCCAACTACCATGTCGAAGAACTCATCCACAACGAGGCGCCCAGAGCTGCAGCACTTCTCCGTCGTCATCTTCGTCGGGGCTCTCCAGCAAATGCATTGAAGCGCCCTGCACGAAAACAAGAGAGAACATGAAAATGATTAACAACATCATAACCATACTCCAAAACAATGAGAAGATAGATCCCATCATACAGTCCCAAATGAGGCGCAATTCCTTCAAGAAGTGGATGAGCCGGAAGACACGGAGGACCCGGATGATCTTCAGGGCTCTGAGGACGCGCCCGACGGTGAATTGCCCGGAGACCCGACTTGCCAGTACCGCCTGCACGGCGTCAATGGAAACGATCAGGAAATCTAACCAATTCCAACCAGCGTCATCGTTGCAGAAAAAATAATACTTATGCACTGCAATTGCTAGGGCGAGCTCTAGACAATATATAATGAGGAAAGCCTTCTCGACTTCATACGCCCAGTCATCGGCATCGCCCAAGTTCTTCGCCTGATAATCGACAAACCAAGTCATCCAGCATGCATTTGCGAAGATAATAAAGCCGAACAGTGTACGCCCCCGCCGCTCCAGGCTCGCAAGAAGGCCTGTGCGTTCTGGCTCCTTGATATTCATCCACGCCTCGTAACACGAGGCCACACAATCTTTTGCCCATCTGCCTGATGTGTGACTCTGCTTGCTGGGGTCGATCATCGGCACGTCGTAGTAGCTGGACCTGGTCCTTCCCAGCGACTCCGTGCCCAGCGGCGGCGGGGGGAGGGGCACAGGCGGCAGGCCGGGAGATCCGGGCGTGAGGTCGCCGCTGGGCTCGGACGAGGGCCATGCCATCGCCTGCTCTGCCGTCGGCAACGGCAGGGTCGAGCCGCGGGCAAAGCGGACACCACGCTGCCCCCGAGAGGAGGCCGCGGCAGGCTGCACGGCCGCCTCGCCGCCGGTGCCGCCCTCGGCCGTGCAGGCTCCCGGCGGCGGCTCCGCAGACGGCGCCTCCACGAGGGAGCCGCAGGAGCTCCTCGTGCTGGGTCGATCTGCTGGCGATATGCTGGCGATCGGGTGGGGCGAGATCATGGCCTGGCGACTGCCGGCCGCACCGCCGCCGTCACCCTCAGCGCCGGCCGCTGCCCGCTCCTCGTGCGGCGCCGTGCTGGCGGCGGATGTCCGCTGGCGGGAGGGCGGCCTGAAGCCCGAAACCTCGGAGCTCACCTGGGCCACTCTCTGGAGGAGCTCGCCGTGGCGCTCTTCCGCGGCCGCCGCCAGCGACCGCCGCTGCTCCGACGCCTCCGACATCATGTTCCCCACCTGCTCCCTGTAGTCGTCCAGGCGCATGAAGAGCTCGTACCACAGGTCGCGGGCGACCCCCGCGGCCGGGTCGGGCGGCGCCCCACTGTAGAACATGCCTCTGGGCGAGCTGAGGCGGCGGGCCTCCAGTGGCGGCACGTCCACGGGCGGGAGGCCCCGGGGCGTCCCCGGCGGTGCGGCCATGCACTGCGGGAGAGGCTCCGACGAGACAGCCCTCGTCGACTGGGGGCGCCAGGCAATGCTCAGGGGGGTCACCTGAGCCTTTACCTTCTTGAGCCAAAATGGCCACGGGCCCACCATCATGTGGTGTTGGGTCCTCGTTTTGAAGAGACGGTCCCCGCATTCCTCCTCCCTCCTCCCCCTCCTCACTGCGTTTCACCCACCCAGTACAGCGCTTCGTGGCCCCATCGGGAGCTCCACCGAAGGTCCCAGTGCTACCGCCCGCATGCGTCCCCCAAACCCAATTTGGCACACCCCTCACAAGTTTCTTGGCCCCATGGCATGCGTCCCCCAAACCCATTTCGGCACCTCCCTCATACGTTTCGTGGCCCCATCGGGAGCTTCACCGAAGCCCCCAAGGGGGACCGCCCGCATGCGTCTCCCATACCCAATTTGGCACACCCCTCACGCGTTTCGTGGCCCCATAGGGAGCTCCACCGAAGCCCCCAGGGGGATCGCCCGCATGCGTCACCCACACCGATTTCGGCACACCCATCACACGTTTGGTGGCCCCACAGGGAGCTCCACCGAAGCCCCCAGTGGGACAGCCCGCATGCGTCCCCCACACCGATTTCGGCACACCACTCACGCGTTTCGTGGCCCCATGGGGAGCTCCACAGAAGGCGCCAGTGCCACCGCCCGCATGCAGCTCCAACGAAGGCCCTGGTGCCACCGCCCGCATGCGTCACCGACGCCCATTCAGGCACACCCCTCACGCGTTTCGTGGCCCCATAGGGAGCTCCACCGAAGGCGCCATTGGCTGCGTTCGCATGCGCCCACCGCACCCATTTCGGCACACCCATCACACGTTTCGCGGCCCAACAGGGAGCTCCACCGACGGCCCCAGCGGCTGCGTTCGCATGCGCCCACCGCACCTATTTCGGCACACCTCTCACGCGTTTCGTGGCCCCATAGGGAGTTCCACCGACGGCCCCAGTGGCTGCTTTCGCATGCGCCCACCAGACAAGTTTTGGCACACCCCTCACACGTTTCGTGGCCCTGTAGGGAGCTCCTCCGAATGCGGTGCATACAACGACGGTGCTCACAACTGCATATGGTTGGGTCCTTCGCCAGGCTAATTTTTCGTTGCGGCGGATCCTGCAGGGCTTCTTCCCCTGCTGCCATCTGTACGTGACCATCATCCCCCCCCCTTGCGGGGGGCCAGGCGCCTCGCCCTCGCTTCGCCCCCCGCCCTTCTCCGCCGTACGCTTCGAAGCAATCGCCGCCACATCCTTGCCCCGAGTGGCCCCCCTGGCCTTTCACCGTGCATACGGGGCGCCAAAACTCCCAGACACCCGGGCGTCTCGACAAAATCGAGACGGAGGCTTTCCATAGTTCTCGGCCTCTCGGGGCCCCTTACAGGGCCTCGCGGTGCCGTCAAAAACAACGGCTCGGGACGAGACACCGGTCCCGGGGAAGTGGTCGAGAGGACGGGGGGCCTTGCCTCGAAGAAATCGAGACGCCGGATGTTCGGGCGTCGCTTGCGTAGCGTGTACACGTCGGTCGGAAGAAGAGGTAGAACCATGAAGTAGGCAGGCGTTGGAAGTAGATTGGGTTCCCTCCGCCCCCCCTTAATGAGGACGGAAGAGGTGAAGCCACTCGACCATTGAAGTAGGAAGGCGCTCAAAGTAGATTGGGATCGGGGAATCCAAGAATACCTATTTTCGACGAACGACGGGTAATCTCTGAACACTGTTGTGCTCAGGGCCCCGTGAGCGGGAACTTTGCCAAGGGCGCTGGCACGCCACAGCAAACAACTGCAGCCGTGGGTCGGTGCTGCTGCTGCTGCGGGTGATGAGGACGTCGGCAGCAAAGGATGGCTGGAATATTGTCGCGGTGGCGGCACATACGATGATGATGACGATTATGATGCTGATGCTGGTGATGATGCTGATGCTGGTGATGGTGATGATGCTGGTGATGGTGATGCTGGTGCTGATGATGTCGATGACGATGGCGATGACGATTCTGATGATGATGCTGATGATGATGATGACGATGACGATGCTGATGATGATGACGATGATGCTGATACTGATGATCATAATAATCATGCTGATGCTGATGATGCTGCTGCTGATGATGATGATGATGATGGTGGTGATGGTGACGATGGTGGTGATGCTACTGCTGCCGCTGTTGCTGCTGCTGATGCTGCTGATGATGATGCTGCCACGCTCTCTGTCGCCTCCGCTTTACGTCTATCGAAGTTGCATGTCCACCTTTCTACCTGGCCAACGCCAAGTGAAGCGTGCACCTAAGGCAACTTGTAGGGACATGGTATGGTCAGAAACAAACGTATGGGAGGACTGTGGTACTGATAGGTCGAGGAGGACGCCAATGACGGAGGGGGAAGAGGAGGAGGTGATGATCATGGTAAGCAGGAGGATTAGTAGGCAAGGGGGAAGTGGGGGGGGGGGGGAATGAGGAGGAAGATGAGGAGGAGGGGCGGAGGAGGAGAGGGAGAGGGACAAGCAAGGAGGCTGGGGACAGGAGGAGGAGGAGGAGGAGGAGGAGAAGGAGGAGCAGGAGGAGGAGGAGGACCAGTGGAAACCCAAGAGTCATCAACGATGTTGGAATTACCCCCCCCTCCACGCTCCCTCTTCATAAGCCCCTACAACTGGTTCATTTCCATTGAGGGAGCTGCCTCGTTGGAAGACAACAGTTTGAAGATCCTGAAGCGTGCCAACACATTCTCGGGATTTCAACGCCACGTATCGACCTGACTGCTGCGCCTTGACGGTCCACAGTCGTGCCAGAACGCCATTTTGGGGACTTCGACACAACGAATCAACAGAACCGTTGCGCCCGCATATTCCTGACTCCTTCCACACCACAACTTCTGGGACGCTGATCATGGAGAACCGCGAAACTCTGGCAAATGTTTAAAGCGAATGGGCGCGGCGCTAAAGCGAGAACCACGTTTCGAAAAAGGAACCGTCCTCAATCCGTGAAGCTCGTGCAACATTTTAGATCGAATATGCGCGGCGCTAAAGCGAGAGCCACATGTTGAAAACCACCCGCCCTCAATCCGTGAAACTCTTGCAAATGTTTAAAACGAATGCGCGCGGCGCTAAAATGAGAACCACAATTTGAAAACAACCCGCCCTCAATCCGTGAAACTCTTGCAAATTGCTTA